ATATATATATATATATATATATATATATATATATATATATAATCTTTATTTTATTTTTTTATTTTCCATATATTACAGCATTAATAACACTTATAAAATACACAACATAATTTTTTTCTTTTATTTTAATGCTTAATTAATGCTTTTTGAATTTGCTTATTTTTAATATTTTCTAATTTTAGTTATATGTAATATTATTATTATTATATGTAATAATATGTATTATTTTATATTTAAATACATTTGAACCTTTTTATCCTATTTTTGTTTTTAAAAGCATTTTATTTACAATATATTAAATCATTTTTAGCATTAGTTTTGTTAATGCATTCATAATTAATATTTATGACAGAAAAAAAATATATGCTTAATTTAATTCATATTTTAGATTTGCTATTTTCTTTTACTTTTAGTTTAAAGTTTTACTAATGTGATGTAGTCATGTGCTTTATTTATTTATTTTTTGTAATATTTATATTTAATTTAATTTATTTAGAAATTTAAATATTTAGTCATTTTAATATTTATTCGAGCTAAAAAAAAATTAGGTTTATTATATATATAATATCTGTTGCTAAATGGTCTGTCTCTAAAAGTGTGGGGGACGTATCCCCCCTGTCCCCCCTTTTTCTATATAAATTTGCTAATAAATTTTTATGTATTATGCTGTATATTGCATGTATTAGCATTATTTAAAAAAATTTGATATTTATGTGTTTCTCAGTTTGTTAACCATATCAACCTTAGACTGTTTATTGATATAATAAACTATTTTGGGCTGCACGGTGGCTCAGTGGTTAGCACTGTGGCCTCACAGAAAGAACGTCGCTGGTTCGAGTCCCAGCAGAGTCAGTTGAACAGACATGTTCTCCCCATGTTTGCGTGGGTTTCCTCCAGGTGCTCTCTTTTCCCCCACAGTCCAAACACGTGCAATTGGAGAAACGATGAACTAAATAGCGGTTCATTACGCTGTGGCGTCCAATAAATGAGACTAAGCCGAAGGAAAATGAATGAAGGAACTATTTTTCTCCAGGGAGAGAGATAACCTTGAATTTTTTATCCATTCATTCATTTTTCTTTAGCTTAGTCCCTTTATTCATCAGGGGTCACCACAGCAGAATGAACCGCCAGCTATTCCAGCATATGTTTTATACAGCGGATGCCCTTCCAGCTGCAACCCAGTTCTGGGAAACACCCATTCACAATCAGTCACACACTACGGCCAATTTAATCTATTTAATTCCCCTATAGCACATGTGTTTGGACTCTGGGGGAAACCAGAGCACGCGGAGGAAACCAATATGGGAAGAACATGCAAACTCCACACAGAAATGCCAACTGACCCAGGTGGGACTCGAAATCAGTGACCTTCTTGCTGTTAGGAGACAGTGCTAACCTGTATAGATGATTTCAGTATATTTAATGTTAGATGTCGATGTGATGGTAGGTGTTTCTCTAATAGCCTGTCAGTTTAATCCTGATTATTTCCCACATAATTGTGCAGGGAAATATAATGTGAATCTGTGCTCCAGGCTGGATTTTCCTCATCACAAACAACCTGGAAATAGCAGAGACTTTTACAATGGAGCCTGTCATGCTTAGAGACGCCATGGAAATGTCTGTAATGTGATTTTTGTAGATCTTCATTTCAGAGCGGCTCGTTTTGAAGCAAAGCGCATTCGTGACGCGTGTTAGCAGCTAATAACTGTTTGATGATGCGGAAAGCAAATGTTCCTCTTGTTAATGTTGTTTCCATGCCAGAGAAGAGGACAAGAATCACTCAGATCTGTTCATTCCTGAGATTTATTTCTGCGCTTTCTTCATTCAGTTGTTAATCACAAAAAAAGCCACCAAAATAATGTGAGACAACTTTGCTTTCTTGTGAAATGTTCATTTACCGGTCTGACTAACAGAGCCTTTAACGACAGTTGCTTGCTTTATTTGTCTATTTATTTATTAAGTTATTCATTCATTCAATAATTCATTCATTTATATATTTATTTATTCATTCATTTAATTATTAATTTATTGATTTATTTATTCCTTTAATTATTCATTCATTTATGCATTTATTTATTCATTTATTTGTTTATTTATTTAATAATTTAATCATTCATTTATTAATTTGTTAATTCATTCCCCTATTCATTATTTGTTTATTCGTTTATTTATTTACTCATTCATTTAATCATTTATTTATTAATTTATTCTTTCATTTACTTTAATTTATTTATTCATTCATTTATTCATTCATTTGTTTATTCATTCATTTATTTACTCATTCATTTAAACATTTATTTATTAATTTTTTCTTTAATTTATTTTATTTTAATTTATTTATTTATTCATTTATGCATTTATACATTCATTATTTATTTATTATTTATTCATTAATTTATTTGTTTATTTATTCATGTGTTTATTCATTCATTTATTTATTCATTCAATAATTCATTTATTTATATATTAATTTGTTCATTTATTTATCAATTCATTTACTCATTCATTTATTTTAGATATTTATTTGTTTATTCATTAATTCTTTCATTTTTGCATTTATCTATTCATTTATAAAAAAAAATTATTTGTTTATTCATAATTTTTTAATTATTTCATTTATTAATTAATTTATTCAATAATTTATTAATTTATTTTTTATTTTTTACTCTTTCGTTAATGCATTTATTTATTCATTCATTTATGCATTTATTTATTCATTTGTTTATTCGTTGATTTATTTACTCAATCATTCAATCATTTATTTATTAATTTATTCATTCATTTATTTTAATTAATTTATTTATCCATTGATTTATTCGTTTTGTTCATTCATTCATGCATTCATTTACGCATTTATTTATTCATTCATTCATTATTTTGAATATTTATGAATTTTCTTAACAGTTCGTTTACAAACGCTTTTTTATTTTTTATTAAATGCAGTGTATAAATTTACTGATGTTTTTGTTCTTATGTTTAAATTGTGAGTTAATTTTTTCT